AGGAAAAGTAGTGAAGTATACAGCATTTTAGTCTCATAAATAGGTGGTGAGATATACAGAACTAGTCTGAGGAAAAGTAGTGAAGTATACAGCATTTTAGTCTCATAAATAGGTGGTGAGATATACAGAACTAGTCTGAGGAAAAGTAGTGAAGTATACAGCATTCTAGTCTCATGAATAGGTGGTGTGATATACAGAACTAGTCTGAGGAAAAGTAGTGAAGTATACAGCATTCTAGTCTCATGAATAGGTGGTGTGATATACAGAACTAGTCTGAGGAAAAGTAGTGAAGTATACAGCATTCTAGTCTCATGAATAGGTGGTGTGATATACAGAACTAGTCTGAGGAAGAAGTAGTGAAGTATACAGCATTCTAGTCTCACAAATAATTAGTATTGTGTACAGAACTATAGTCTGTGGAATAAGTAGTGTATCATATAGTATTCTGATTTCATGAACAGGTGATATTATATATAGAACTGGTCTGAGGAGTAAGTAGTGTGGTATACAGTATTCTACTTTCATGAATATGTGGTGTAATATTCAGAACTTTTATATGAAGAATAAGTAGTGTAGTACAACATTCTGGTATCATCAATAGGTGGTATGGTATACAGAATTCTAGTCTATGGAATAAGTAGTGTGACATACAGCACGCTAGTATGGTGAATAAGTGGTACGATGCACAATATTCTGGTCTGGTGAATATATAATGTGATATACATCATTATATTCTGGTGTATCTTTAGCATACAATATTCTAGTTAAGTTTTATATAACTTCCTAAGTTGGTAAGTATGTAGCATGATTAAATATTAATGACTAGGTGGCATGTATTATTTACAGATGTAAAGACTGTATTAATGACTAGGTAGCATGTATTCTTTACAGATGTAAAGACTGTATTAATGACCAGGTGGCATGTATTATTTACAGATGTAAAACTGTATTAATGACCAGGTGGCATGTATTATTTACAGATGTAAAGACTGTATTAATCACTAGGTGGCATGTATCTTTTACAGATGTAAAACTGTATTAATGACTAGGTGACATGTATTCATTACTGAACGTTTTTTTCACAGATGAGACTCTGCTCTGTTTATTTGATTGAAGAACAGTTTGACTGTAATAACTTGCTTTTTTGATTTTTTTTGAGTAATTTAATTAATAATTGGGGTTAGAATGAAGAGAAATGGTGAATGACTCATGTTATTATGGAAGGAGTGATTAAATGACTAGGATTACTATGGAAAAAAATATTAAATATTTGAAAAACTAAGATGTAAGATTGAGATGAATGAAAATACAACTTGTGTTCATCAGGTTTTTATAATAAATGGTTCTTGTTACAATGTCTCACAACATTTGATAAATGAAGAGAATATCAAATATTGGGCAGCAGGTATTAGATTAGTATTTTATTTGACATATTTGTCAAAAGGCAATATTACCAGAGTCAGAAATTTGGTACCATAAAAAATCAAAAGGTAATGCATTATAAACTCTTGATTCTTTAGTTTTTGTCTAACCAATCATCCATATTCTGTTTTAACAGGGCTGTAAAAGACTGTAGCTACATCATCCATGTAGCATCACCATTTCCAAATGTCCCAATTGCTAATGAAGATGATGTTGTAAAGCCAGCTGTTGAGGGTACTAAGAGAGTTTTGCAGGCTTGTGCTGATTCTGGAACTGTTAAACGAGTTGTGCTTACCAGTTCAATAGCAGCCATTCATGGTAAGTTTATTTAATGTACTATGTTGTACACTATAGTATATACTTGCTACAGATGTAAAACTGTTAAGACTGTATTAATGACTAGGTGGCAAGTATTCATTACAGATGTAAAGACTATTAATGACTAGGTGGCAAGTATTCCTTACAGATATAAAGACTGTATTAATGACTAGGTGGCAAGTATTCATTACAGATGTAAAGACTATTAATGACTAGGTGGCAAGTATTCCTTACAGATGTAAAGACTATTAATGACTAGGTGGCAAGTATTCCTTCACCAATTAATCCGGTTCACTCTATAATAGTTGTTGCCATGCAACTTGCTAATATAAATAGCATCTCAATCACTATTATGTCTGTTGTATTCCAGTCAGCTTGAATAACACTTGTATTGGATGAAAGGCCCTATCACCACTGGATATATCAGATATAGTGTGGTTGATGCATTATTACACCCTTCTTTACTTTCACTCAGAAGGTCTTATTAATGATAATGTCAGAATATTGGTGGATTACCTTGAACAAGAAATTAGAAGTCATGGAGTGTTGTTCATATTAATACCCAAGTTGTTGTTTGACATTGGTGAGCTTGACATTTTATTGACTGAGGAATTGGATAGGGTTCCCATAACATTATCCACAAACTAATTAGAACTGTGCTGTACAAATGTAAAGACTGTATTGCTGACTAAGTGGCAAGTATTCCTTACAGATATAAAGACTGTATTTGATGCATGGCAATCATTACCCTAACTCTGTATTGTGACATAAATAAATCTGATGAAAATTACAACTTATATAGTAAAAAAGAGGGCGCCTGGCAAACACTCGGATATTCGCGGAGTTCCTCGATAAGTCATGATCCTTCTAGAAACTCCAACGCGCATGCTCCCACGTCGCGTGACTTCCGCTGTCGTAACACTACGATCCACCACATACACAGCCTTTCCGGAACTTGAAGAGGAATCCACGACAGGGAACAAAACTTTTAAGCTAGCACAAACAACTACTGAGCTAACCTCACAAACTTCAGGTTATTTTATTTTATTTTTTTTATTCCCGTTGTGTTTCCTCACACCTAATTACCGGGTGTGGGGCGAAGAGAGATCGTCTGATCTCTGAACACTACCACAAGAGTGAGCGAGTAACGTTAGTAGTTCGAGCGTCCTGTACATCTCAGCTTACGTACTTATGATTGATAAATCCATTGAAGGTAATTTGCTGAAGAAATGAAATATTGGTTATGTTGTTGTGAGGTATTGGAATGTTTGGCCAAATATAATCTCTTTACAATCCATTTGAACAATGAAATATATCGTGAAATTATATTGCACACCTGACGTTAAATCTATCACCCAGGACTTCACTGAATTAAATTACTACAGCCCAGAACATCTAATGTGTGCAGTGAGTTTCATATGCTGCTAGATTTCATGGATGGATTGCATCTCATAATACGTTCATCACATATGTGAATGCAAGACGTTGGTTCCCATGGTTCCTTGAGTGTCAAATCTGGGGTGAAAAATTATGAAAATTACCATCACATGAGGGATAAATCCTGTTACTCAGCATTTACATTAGCTGACTGGTGGGTCTAGGTTTAAAGGGAACTACAGATAGAACACATTGGATATGACTATGTAAACACAACCATTCATGGCTCTGTTTTAACTGATTTGTACTTGAAGTATTTGCATTAAGGTTGTGGTAACTGAATGTCAATCATTGTCATGGTTAGTAGCCAATACAATTACCTTACTCTAATTAGACAGATAATTTTTTTTGGATTCTCAAAAAACAATGATTATGGTAATTTCTCACCATTTATATCTAAGACAAACAGAACATGTGACTATATAGCAGAGTAAATTATGACAGTATTTAAATTAATCTTATATTCATATTTAATTTCTATTTCTTAATAGTGGTTCTTGTGACTGGGGCAACTGGGTTTGTTGGTACTCATGTCATTAAGCTGCTTCAAGAGGATGGTTACAAAGTTCGAGGGACTGTCAGAAGTTTGCAGAATGAAGAAAAGTTGAAACCAATCAAAGAACTCTGTCCAGATGCTCAACAACAAGTAGAGCTTGTAGAAGCAGATTTGACAAAAGATGAAGGCTGGAATGAGTGAGTTATAGCTCTGATTAAGAAGTTAGCACACAGGATCACATACAAAAGTTGTAATGGTTTTCAAATGATACCCAAAACTCGAGCACTTTTGAATAGTTCACTATTCTTCTTCAGTTATAACTGATTATTTTTTAAAATCACTTAATACTAATTACTCATATAAAGCATTGTTTTGAATAAAAATTACATAAATATAAAGTTTTTACAAGATCTTGCTTATGTTATAAATAAATTTTGTAGCATTAGAACTTCTCTTGTATTAAATGCCATTCGTATTAATAAAAAAAGAGAGTTAGGCTATGAGAAAGAGATAGGAGAGTGGGGAGAATAAAGATGGATGTTGAAATAAAAACGTTTGGGGAAAAGAGAACAACAATTCTACAGAATAAAGAAGTATGGTACAAAGGTGCAATAGAAAAAGAAATAGAAATAATATCAGTCAAGAGAGAAAAATAATAGAAAACAGTCTGAAGAGAAGAAATTAAAGTATACTTATGCTATAATAACATCTCATGATAATAATACAAAGAAGAAGTGATGAGTTTAGTGAAAAATGGAAGATTGACTAGTGACGGTACACATAAATTTGGAAGAAAATTTGTGAGAAGGTACATAGGAATATAAATTATTGAAAATAGTATAGAGTAAACTAGTTAATGACTGGTGATAGTTTAGAGAATAGCTTATAACTGGAACAGAGGAGAACAGTGAAAGAACTGTGGATGGTGTAAACAGGATTAACAAATAACTGATGATAGAACTGATAAGAAAAGTTTATAACTAAGTTAACAATAGAGGGTGATAAATAGTGCTTGAGGTTTTAATATTAATATTAGCGAGGGAATATGGAGAGAGGTAGTAGATCAAATTGTTTCATTAATAAATGAAGGGACAAACATGTTTGTGATATGGAAAATTACATCTTTTAATATTGTTAAAAGTATTGTTATGTCATCAGTTATGTGCATGTTTAACCTATATGCACTGTTGTGAGAATGCCCAGTGTTTCAACATATTTTGCACTTTGTACCTTCCTTTTGAAAAAAAAAGTGGTAGCATATTTTTGTGTTTTCCAGTTCACAGTTGGAAAGTTGTAAACATGTTGTTAGACAAATGGTATATGCACTAAACAACTACATAACAGTGACACTTGCACAGCATAATCACAATGAATCACCAGTCTACTGCCTATGGACTCATTTGTGGTTTAGCCAGCACAAGTCTGGGTATCACCTAGACACTTTTTATGAGGTTGGACATGCCCTAGTACTTTTTTTTTTGAGATTTCTATTATGACTAATTGTATGAAAAGAAAATATTAATTTTCAGGTTACATACCTAAATTAATTAAATGTAGAGAACACTGAATAGTGAAATGGTCCTTCCATGTCTTTCATTTACGAATTATTTAATCAAAATCTTAACATTTGAGAACATTGTTCTAGATCTTCTATTTTTTAAAATTCCATAGCTTAGACATTTGTTTTCCATTTAGGAATGTACCATTATTTAATGATGTGCATTTAGAATAGAAACTGCAGTGACATAACAGTCAGATCTAATGAGTGTGATTTAAAGTTTAAGATCTGCTTCAATTCCACATGGCTCATTTGGTATTCTGTTGAGATCGTAAGAACTAACAGCAATGCCATTAGGCACCTTTTTGATTTTTCTTATGGGTGAATGATCAAGGTTTCATGTCTCATTTTTTAAGAGTCAAAGGAGAACAGTACTGTTCATTGTGGCCATTTCAGTTATGGTGTGGAGAGGATTTACTATGAGTGGATGTACAGATCAAATTATGCTTCCAAAGGGCAGAGGTACTGCTAATTGATATATTTAAGTTGTATTGGATCCAACTGAATGATTTTTTGAGTGCCCATTTGTGCCAGATGACTTTGTCCCCCAGCAAATAAAGCCAGCGATAGATAGATATGCAGATAGATTGAAGAGATAGATAATTGAGTCAAGCGAACAGCAGGCACCGTAAGTAAAGTTTTTGAATCACTGTGATTTATAGCGTATGTTATAAAAATTGTTAAGTTTAAAGTGGCTGCGGAAATTCTGTGTACTAAAATGTTGAATCAAGAAAGAATAAATTAGTTTTAATTAAAAAAGGACTTGTATCGCTGAAGTTCCTCGGAAAGAATTTCTACCGGAAATTAACAAACGAGCAGATAGATACAAATTGGTGTCAGAGAGTGGTACTTAAAAGAAAAAAAAAGAAGAAGATGGAAACGACAAGTGGCAAATCAAACTACAGATTAGCAGATTTGATGGCAGCAGTAGAAGAACAGCAAAAGAAACAAGAAGAACGAGAAAATAAACAAGAAGAATGAGAAAAGAAACAAGAAGAGAGATTACAGCAATTGTTGAAGGAAAAGAAAAGAAACAAGAAGAGAGACAACAGCAGTAGCAACAAAACTTGCAATAGTGGCAGCTCGATCAGCAACATAAACAAGAAAAGAGATTACAGTAGTTGTTGGAGAAAAAAAGAAAAGAAACAAGAAAAGACATTACAGCAGTTGTTGGACGAAAAAGAAAAGAAACAAGAAAAGACATTACAGCAGTCGTTGGAGGAAAAAGAAAAGAAACATGAAAAACGAGAAAATAAACAAGAAGGG